CCAATCCCCCCCCCCCCCCCCCCTTCAGGAGTGGCTGCAATGCGATGCAATGCAAACATTACCCACCGGGAGCATTATCATGTATTATCAAAGGATCTTTCCAACGATCGAGGGACGGCTCAGGAGGGGCATCTGGATGTGATCAGGTGGGATTGCCCCAAGAAGACCTTCAGGATGGCAAGAAATGAACCACCAGTAGCCTCTTCCCCCTCTAAGCAGTCTTGACCGCATCAAACTACATTCACCCATAGTTGCTCCTAACCTGGCAGTGCCTTGTGGGACTCGGGTTAACGAAAAGAGGACACAAGATTTTTTTTTGGCCCGCCAAGCAGCTGCAAATTTCCTGTGCTCCTGAGAATTTTGGTAAATCGAAAAAGTACAAGTATTGCCCTTCCTGCCTCTCTCCAGGGCAATGTTTCTACGGCATCAACCCCTCTATGTCGCCAACGGCAAGGCCCGTTAAGGCATACCCAGTTTCCGTCGACTCCGGAGCTGCTGCTGCGGCCTCCACTGCAATCCCAGCATGCCACTGGGGCCGACGGGATCCTTACAATAACCCGAGTCCCACAAATGTGGCCGGTCATCTTAAAGGGCAACCGAGGGGCGAATGTACCAGATTGTCCCCTGATTCCTCAGACCTTCTTGAGTTCCTGCAGGCCCCCGAGTCTGAAATTCTAGTCCGCGTAGTTGTTAATACCAGTTTCACTTTCGTTTTCAGTCTCCGGTTCGTCATATTTTTTTTCTATGGTGCTGCATCGTACGCCAATTTTACTTTGCTTGTTCCGGGAAACTGAGACAAAATGACGTTTCTCGGGGATATTGTTTTTGTATTTTTTATGGATGAAGAACAGATTTGTTTTTTTTCTATGTTCCGGCCCTCTGTCATTAAACATTAACCCACTTCACATTTTGTATTATTTTTCACTCGCCTGAGACCTTCTCCAGTTCAGTTTTTTTTCCTTCCACAGCCTATTCAACGTTCCCAATTCAGACTCGACAGTAGGAGGTTGCAATGCATCCTGGGATGGTTACCATGGAAAGGGTTGACGGTTTAGCCTGTGAAGGGTGTGCAGGGTCGGCTGGTATACAAATGGCAGTTGTCCCATACCAATGGCAGTTGTCCCATATGGAAGTTGTACTATACAAATGGCAGTTGTTCTATACAAATGGCAGTTGTCCCATTCCAATGGCAGTTGTAACATACCAATGGCAGTTGTCCCATACCAATGGCAGTTGTCCCATATGGAAGTTGTACTATACAAATGGCAGTTGTTCTATACAAATGGCAGTTGTCCCATTCCAATGGCAGTTGTAACATACCAATGGCAGTTGTCCCATACCAATGGCAGTTGTCCCATATGGAAGTTGTACTATACAAATGGCAGTTGTCCCATTCCAATGGCAGTTGTACCATACCAATGGCAGTTGTCCCATATGGAAGTTGTACTATACAAATGGCAGTTGTCCCATTCCAATGGCAGTTGTCCCATTCCAATGGCAGTTGTGCCATACCAATGGCAGTTGTCCCATACCAATGGCAGTTGTACCATATGGAAGTTGTACTATACAAATGGCAGTTGTCCCATATGGCAGTTGTACTATACAAATGGCAGTTGTCCCATATGGCAGATGTACTATACAAATGGCAGTTGTCCCATATGGCAGATGTCCCCTACAAATGGCAGTTGTCCCATATGGCAGTTCTACTATACAAATGGCAGATGTCCCATATGGCAGTTGTCCCATATGGCAGATGTCCCATACGAATGGCAGTTGTACCATATGGAAGTTGTACTATACAAATGGCAGATGTCCCATTGAAATGGCAGTTGTACCATATGGCAGTTGTACTATACAAATGGCAGTTGTCCCATATGGCAGATGTCCCCTACAAATGGCAGTTGTCCCATATGGCACTTGTCCCATACGAATGGCAGTTGTACCATATGGAAGTTGTACTATACAAATGGCAGATGTCCCATTGAAATGGCAGTTGTCCCATACAAATACATCCATGCTACACTTATAAAAGCAAAGCATTCTGGGACGCCCTATCAAGATGAATTGTAAAGGGATTCCCATCAGCAAGATAACCCTTTTGATGGCCAGTCTGCTCACCTGCTACACTTGGACTCCAGTGTTGAGAGAACGGTCAGCAAGGGGTTAAACTCGGGTTGGTATGCAAATTAAAATCTCACTCACAGCCGAGCCCTTAAAGCCACAGGCCACGCCGTCAATTCTCTCTGTGTGAGTTCGCATGTAAAAATGTATATAATTTTAAGAGTAGAGATTTGGTAGAATATATATCATGTGATTGTTGGAGCCCCTCCCCCCTGCCGCGGTAGCGGAGTCACATCTAGTCACCGACCACATTAAAATTCTTAATAAAAACTGACATTTCTGAGAACCAAAAAAACATTGTCTGTCCTTTATTAGGTGATTGCTGATTGCAAATGATTGGATGGGTGAGGTCAAGGTCCTCCAGCAGGAGGGGAGAGTTATGGAGGAAGGAGCACAGTCCTCCTGTAGAGCACGGTAATTCAGGAGAGTTAGAGGAAGGAGCAGAGTCCTCTAGCAGAGCAGAGTATTTCCGGAGAGTTAGAGAAGGGAGCAGAGTCCTACAGTAGAGCAGGGTAATTCAGGAGAGTTAGAGGAAGGAGCAGAGTCCTCCTCCAGAGTATTTGAGGAGAGTTAAAGGAAGGAGCAAAGTCCTCCAGCAGAGTATTTCAGGAGAGGAAAGCTAAGGGAAGGAGCAGAGCCCTCCAACAGAGCATAGTATTTCAGGAAAGTTAGAGGAAGAAGCAGAGTATTTCAGGAGAGGAGCCATTTACAGAGGAAGGAGTAGAGTCCTCCAGCAGTGTATTGCAGGAGAAGAAAGTTATAGAGGTCAGAGCAGAGTCCTCCAGCAGAGTATTCCAGGAGAGGAGACATAGACAGAGGTAGGAGCAGAGTCCTCCAGAAGAGTATTCCAGGAGAGGAGACGTAGACAGAGGTAGGAGCAGAGTCCTTCAGCAGAGTATTCCAGGAGAGGAGACGTAGACAGAGGTTGGAGCAGAGTCCTCCAGCAGAGGAGAGGAGACGTAGACAGAGGTAGGAGCAGATTCCTCCAGCAGAGTATTTCAGGAGAGGAGACAGAGACAGACGTAGGGGCAGAGTCCTCCAGCAGAGTATTCCAGGAGAGGAGACGTAGGCAGAGGTATGAACAGAGTTCTCCAGCAGAGTATTTCAGGAGAGGAGACGTAGACAGAGGTAGGAGCAGAGTCCTCCAGCAGAGTATTCCAGGAGAGGAGACATAGACAGAGGTAGGAGCAGAGTCCTCCAGCAGAGTGTTCCAGGAGAGGAGACGTAGACAGAGGTAGGATTAGAGTCCTCCAGCAGAGTATTCCAGTAGAGGAGACGTAGACAGAGGAAGGAGCAGAGTCCTCCAGCAGAGTATTCCAGTAGAGGAGACATAGACAGAGGTAGGAACAGAGTTCTCCAGCAGAGTATTCCAGAAGAGGAGAAATAGACAGAGGTAGGAGCAGAGTCCTCCAGCAGAGTATTCCAGGAGAGGAGACGTAGACAGAGGTAGGAGGAGCAGAGACAGACATATAATGCATTATCCATTGCAATAGATATAAATGATAGCGCCTCAGTACATACTAAAACCTGATTGGGGGGACCCCCGAGGCCCTGAAACGTTGTTTTGTGACAGTCTGCATGAATAAAGAAGATGGATTATTGACACAAGTCATAGGTGTGCTGGGGACATTTATCATATATCAGTACAGAAATAAAGATGGAAGCTTTGCCGTATACTTTAAATAATTTTATTAAGTAAACATGCTCAAATACCCCCCAAGAGGGTATTAGTTCCCAGAGACCATCACAGGGGTGGAGAGGTGTGACTGATGAATGGTGTCTATAGGAGGCGGGTGTCGGGGGGTACAGAGGTACAGATGTAGCGCACAGTCATGTCTATGGGAGAAGATCACACTGGGCTGTACCCTTGGGGTGTAGAGTTACCCATAGCAGCCAATCAGAATTCAGTTCATTGAAGTCAAGCCTTTAAAAGATGACTCCTGATTGGTTGTTATAGGCCAGTACTCTGCAAGTATATCAAGACACGTGAAGATGTCACTTTTACGTTAGAAGGCTCAAT